GGACCAGACCTAGGAGGAGAGAATGCCAGGAGGCTGGGGATTCTCCCTTCAACTAAATGTGTTTTGGCCTCTTAAATATTGTGTTTAGGAAATAGCTCCTTCTGGTCTCACCCAGAAGTTAGTTCTTTGCAGGAGGTCTCAGGTTCAGCTTCCCATATCCAGAAGACCATTGCCCAGAACATTAAGCCAGGACATGACTTTTGTGTGTTCTTCTGGATGGGCAAAATTTTGACCTCTCATCTGACTCAGTGACAGGGCATGTGTCCCTCATCTAAGATGACTTCCCTTTCTTCAGTGTTAGCTAATACACATTTTCTGTGGGCTCAATTTAATGGTTCTTAGTTGTTGGATAGGAGGGAAGGGTTGAGATACTTTAGGGTTCCTCCCCTTCTAATCTTTAGCAGAAACACATCTCCAAAAAGAAAAGTACAAAGTGACAGGGAAAGATCAGAAATGAGATCAGAAAAAGGAAGACATTTCTTCTCTCACTGCCAGGAAGTTACTGACACAACTTGCCCCTGTGTCGTCCTTCTCAGCCTGGAAAGGTGAGAATGGGGAAATTTCAAGAGCTAAGATCATCTCCTTACCAGCAGATCAGACCAGAAAGGAAACTGAGGCAGAACAGGCTCAACATTCCCTCTAGAGTGTAGAGGGGGATCAGGCCAGACTGTCCTGGTGAAACTTGTCCTCTGAGTCCTGAGAATGGCTGCTGGCCTATTGCCCTTTAACTGACAGATGGAGTCCTGTGATTTATTAATAGGCATTGTGGTGAATTAACTAATGGTCAGCTGTAACACCAACACCCAGCTGAACTGAGTCTGGGTGGTGCTGGGTGTGGAAAGCCCACTTGAGGACTATTGCCAACAGCATAAAAAGGAGAACTGGAGGGGAAGATGATGGGCTGCTGATCCTCCTGGAGAAGCTTGTCATGCTGGTTTTCCTGATATGAACTTGGCTGTTATTGTCAGAACAGCTCCGGACCTCTTTGTCACTGAGGATGGCTGCGGTTCTCTTTGAGGGAGCTCTGGTCCTTCCTTTGAGGGCCACTTCCTGGCTCCAGTGCAGATCCTTTAGCCTGCTGGCCCAGATCCTTCATCCCGCTGGCACAGACTTTCTAGCTTCCACCACTAATCTTTGATACAGTGCAGATCCGTGATACAGACTTGCATGAGACATTGTCCTGGGCACTAGGCCCTCAATTGAACCTGTGCAGGACATTGCCATTGACTCTAGGTCTTCAGCTGGACTCGTGCAGGAGATTGCTATAGGATCCAGGCCTTTCATTGGATTCTTTAGATCTCTAATGTGTGTGGACAGATCTCCCACACTCTTTTATAATTGACTTTGGATAAATATTATAAAATAATCCTATAAATTATGTGTCCTGTATTAAACCTTTTCCCCTGTAACCCCTGGCTACAACAGGCATGTATATTTCCTAAATATAAACTAGATTTCACAAAAAGACCCATTTTACAGCATTTCATATCAAAGTACACTAAGGGATGCTCTAATATTACTTTTCCCTAGGACAGTTGTCCAACAAGTGAAACAGGCCAAGCAAGGAGCACCCACAAATTCAGCAACTAGTTAATCCAAATGCAGCATATGCAGACAGGAATACAAGACTTTGCCTGCAAAAGGAAAACGTCCCATCAAAGAAACATTATAATCTTTCCATGTTCTCAACTTAAATTTAACATCATTTTAACAAAAACTTCGTAAAAAAGATAAGGTATAAAATTCAAGGCATAAGCAATTGACAACCAAGGATGACAATTTTTGGTTACCTAAATGAGTCCTGCTCCAGAATCCATGAAATAAAAACAAACTCTTACCTCCTTTCAAATACCACAGTGGGACCTCCAAGAATGATATAGCACCTCCAAATGATATAGGGAAATATTATAACTCTCAACCTGCTAGATGTCCAATATGCTGGGTTCATGTTCCCCAAAATCAAAGAATGAATTCTAAGGAACAACAGAGGTTAAGAGTAGGAAATTTTATTGAGGGATAGACATCTCCTGAGAAAGACCATCGGGGGCGGGAACATAGCTCAGTGGCATAAGCGCCTGCCTGACAAGCACAAGGTCCTGAGTTCGATTCCTGGTACCAAAAAATAAAAAGAAAGACCATCAGGGACCCAAAAAGTGGGTTGCCAAAGGGCCCACTTCTCAAAGGAAGTTTCACAGAGCAAAATCACAAAGTGAGTACAAAATCACAAGGTAGGTATAACGTGGGACAAAACTATGATCAACCAATAAGATTACAAGTATACTCGCTTAGGTAATGTTGATCCAGTGGGGAGACAAGTCAAGTAAAGCAAGGGCACACAGAAAGAACATGGGGGTACAGCATTCACATCATCTCCGTGCCCTCCTCTTGCACAGGATGAGGATGTTTACAAAGTGAAGCCCCTGGCTCTCTGCTGAGTCGCTTAATTAAACGTCTAAACTTCTCAAGTTGACACAACGTATCAACTGTTACACAGGGTCACCGTACCATCTCAGGGACTTAAGAGATAGACCCGACACAGGATAAACACTGTCTGTGGGCCATAGGGGGTGGAAAGAGAAGAAAGTTGGCGAAATGTTAGCACCGTAAGCCCCTTAACCCCGAGTCTGGTAGGGTTGCCCAGCTGGAGCTCAGGTTCTGCCGTGTGGAGGAGACTTAGCCCTGCAACAGTGCCCCTGGCTACTTCTCCGCCAGAGCGCTTTCTCCAGACCTAGTGCTTAGCTACAGCCTGGAGGCTGCTGCTGACCACACCCACCAGTCCGCCCTCCACCCAAGGGACAAGAGTGGTGGAGGCAAACCCCAGGCTCCTCCTCCTTGGGTGACAACCATGCAGCTTGGTGTCCATGGTTTCCAGAAAGGTCCCCCAGCAGGGCCGAATGATGACCATCACGAACGCCCATTGCGGTCTGGCTACACTGCTGAGGCGTGGACTCACGGTGCTCCTGCCCAAGCCCAGCACACTGTCGCCCTCTTCTCCTATCTGCCTCACTTGTGCTCCCTGAGGTCACCCCCCAAACACTCTACCTGCGTCCCAGCTCCTCTCCTGGGCTCTCCCTCTGGGAAAGCCTGAACCAAGGCTGAGGTATGTGGATATACAGGTGCTTGGGGCAGTGTTCTTTCTGTTTTTCTGTATGGATTTTTACGATGTTTTAGAAGCACAACGCCATTGTGTGGCTGGGCACCGGGTGATTCCTGGCTGGGTGGTCCGAGTCTGGTCTTTGGGCCTCCTGGGGATTCTAGAAGATGCTGAATGTCCCTTAATAAAACTACGGCTGCTTAGAAGGCATCTTTGGCGTGGAATGTCCTTCGGAGCAAGAGGTGTAGAAGGGAGGTTCGGAGAGGGGAATGCTCTGTCCCCAAGGGCGGCCAGGCCACCAGGCACTCGCAGAGCGGTTTCCTGCAGAAATGGGGGCAGCCGGCTATTTGTGCTTTATGTCAGAACTCTTCTGTGCTGGAACAAGGAGCTGCAGGTCAAGGCTTAGAACTCTGCAAGTTCAGGCTTATGTGGGGACATCGCTGTATTTTTCTCAGGTTTGTGTCACCTAAAATAAGGAAGTGAGCTCTTAATTCCTATGTTCAAGCAGTGTAACACAGTTTTTGTTTCTTTGTTTTTGTGGTACAGGGTTCTAAACAAAGGGCTATTGCATTGAACTATCTCCCCAGCCCTTTTTTTTTTTTTTTATATTTGAGACAGAGTCTTGTTCAGTCTCTACATTGTCCAGGCCAAGTTCAGAGTTCAGACTTGTTATCCTCCTGCCTCAGCCTCCCAGAGGGTCTTGATCTAGTTTTGAAGCCCTGGCTAGAGGTGGCCTGCTGCTTTCTTGGCCAACCAGTGAAATTCCAACTCCAGCACTTCCTTTACTGGGCTCCTGCGCTGTACCAGTCACCCTAACACCCGAGGAACAAGGGACACCGAGGGACAGCGGCTGTCCCTGAGCCTTTGCCCTGCCTGGGGTCCCTCCTCTCCCCTGGCCTGGCGTGGGCCCAGCACTTCACCTGAGAAGCCTTGCTTGTCACCCTGTGGCTCCCAAGGGACCTGTGACTAAAACAAAACTGAGATTCTACTCTCTCTCTCTCTTCTGATTTATATCTGACCTCACTGTAACCTGGCCAAGGTAATATATTTAAAACACAGGGTAAGTGTGGTGAGCTAACTCGTCTTACTTTTTTATTTATTTTGTTTTATTCTATTTTTCTTGCAGTACTGGGGACTGGACCCAGGACCTTGCACATGCTAGGCAAACATTCTACCACTGAGGTATGCCCAGACCCCGTGTGTGTGTATGTGTGTGTGTGTGTGTGTGTGTGTGTGTATGTTACTGGGAGTTGAACCCAGGGTCACTCTGTCCCTTAACCACATCTCCAGCCCTTGTTTTATTTTTAATTTCAGAGCCAGGGATGTAGCTCAGCGGCATAAGCACTTGCTTGGCAAACCTGAGGTCATGAGTTTGATTCCTGGTATCCAAAAAAAACCAAAAAACAAACAAACAAAAAAGACATTTTTTATATTTTTAATTTTGAAACAGGTTCTTGCTAAGTCACTGAATTGTCCAGGCAGGGACTTGCAGTCCTCCTGCCTCAGCCTCCCAGAGTGCTGAGATTGTAGGCTTGTGCCACCTTGCCTGGCTTCCACTTTTTTTGTTTGATTATCCTCCATGCAAGGGTTCAGGGAGGGCTTCTCTCTACCCATTCAAGGCTAGTTTTGACTCAGCTGACAGAGGGAAGTCCAGAGAGGCCTGCGGTACCCTCTGCCCCTGAGGTGCGGGGCAAAGGTACACAGCAATCAGGCAGCAGGGCCGGGGTGACTGCAGCGCCCTTCCCTGGAGCTGCCTGTGGTCCGGAACCAGCCTCCCAGAGCGTGAATTCGGTCTGGAGAAACATCTAGCCTCTTGCCTTTTGTTCCCAGGAAGTCTCCCCTCGCTGCAGGAGGCCTGGCTGCGCTTTGTCCTGCGGGTCTGAGGTCGGCTGTGATTCCCGAGTGCGCCCTGCCGGTCCCTGCTTCCAGCTGAAGGACCTGCCCCTCCTGGGCGCTGCAGGGGCGTCTAGCAAAGACTCGCACAGCTTTCAGGTGCATCCTGCCTCGCCTTTCACTCTGAGACTCGGAGTCCAGCTCTGGGCTCCCCAGGGTCTGCGGGGAACAAACCCTCCTCGCACACCTCCCTGCCCCAGTGGCTGCGGCGAGGTGCACCCCAGCCAGTGCTTCCTGCTCCGCCCGCCCCTCCCCTGCTTGGGGCAGTAACCCTAAAGCTAACAGGATTGGGCACAGAGGTCAAAAACCAAATGAATAAATAGCCGAGTTCCAGGGTGAAGTCTACCATGAAGGGATACTGCTACTGGCGCTAAGTTTAAACGCAACGTTGTTCCAGCTCGGTCCTAACTTGCCAAATGGTTTCTTTCTTGTGGAGGCAGGATGAGGCAAGGTTTCCTGGGTTAATTAGGTACCCCTTTCCTTGTTGCCTCTGGGTCCCCAGGAAGGCCTTGGACTTCTTTCTCTCTTTCAGTCACACCCAGAGCGCTCAGACCCTGTTGGCCTCCCTACTCATCGCGGGCGAAGCTAGATCGAGGATCAAAGTTGGGAGTGGAATATCAAAGTTTAAACTCAGGTCCTGCGTTGGGAATGCGGCTGCCCCGCTGGCCAGCTCTGGAACTTGCAGAAGATAGGCTGGCCCTTCTGAGCCTTTGTTTTTTGAAAAATAGAGCCAGTAATAACACTGATATTTTCTGTACTAGTTACTATACTATGGTAGTATCATCTTCGGACTGACTACTTCTGCACTGTAGTTATGGTATTGGTGTGTGTGTGTGTGTGTGTGTGTGTGTTGGGAATTGAATCCAGGACTTCTGCATGCCAGGCAAGGGCTCTACTACTGAGCTACATCCTCAGCCCTGATGCTATTTTCTGTCCCAATAATTTCTCCACTAATAAGAGATATAACTAAAAGTCTGCACTACTAGTAATTTATTAATGATAGTAACTGTGTATAATTTCTGCTCCAAGCAGTGGCACACATCTCTAACCCCAGAACTCAAGAGGCTGAGGCAAGAGAAACACGAGTTTGAGGCCAGCCTTAGCTACATTGGGAGACCCTATCTCAAAAAAAGAACAAAACTAAAACCTGAAACTGTCCCAGTAATTCCCTGGAAATGAAGCTAATAATATGGCATTGCAGGTTACACCCCACATGGAGTCTCTTTTGAGCTGCCTTCACTGTCTGCCTGGGGCTTTCCTGAGCAGATATTCCACATTGTTGGCATCTCTGACTTTCTGGGGTCTCTACTGCACACTTGGCTTTACTCTCACAGCTTCATACACTGCCCTCTAACATGCCCGGCAGGGACTGTGACCCAATCACACATGTTTACCTGTCCCCCCAGGCCTTCTTCTGAAATCTGTGTGGAAGCCTCCATGAACCCAATAACTCTTGGATTTCCCATGCTGAAAAACCAGTAGTACCACATGGCTGACACCACGGTTGGCTGCCAGGTTGTGTAGCAGCTGGACCCCTTGGACCAGGGCTGCAGAGGTCTCTGAGTGCCTGGATGACTGAACTCGGTGAAACAATTCCCAAGGAACTAGTTCCCACAGCAGCCCTCCTACTTTTGCACCTCTGAGCCTGTGATGGGTGGGGTCTTGCTGATTCCTGAGATGCCTTTCAAGCCATCTTTCATATTTTCTTGATGCAAAGTAATTGGCTTCTTCTTAAAACTAATCTTTGCAGCAAGCATGCCCTCCATGGCCTCAGCTTTGCAAGTGCTTCCTTTCTGGTGAAACTGCAAACTTTTCAAATCATCCAGCTCTGCCTTTTGTTGATTTTTATTGTAGATCTGGCTAAAGCAGTCAGCAGTTCTCATGTCACAGCCTAAATGTTGGGCTGTCTTGAGATTTCTTCTGCCAGATTTATTAATCCGACATCCTTAACCTCAGCCGTCTGTAAGGTCTCAGGACAGGGGCAAAATGCCAGCAAATTTTCCGTTAGAACATAAAATACATGGCCCGCGTCTAGCTGCCAATGCAACCCTTGTTCCCAAGTGAAACCATCTGAGCCTGGCCTTGAATGTCCACATTCCTATCAACATTCTGGTCTTCTGAACTCTGACCAGTATCACACATCAAGCACCACTCCCAACATTCTAGGGCTTCTCTAGCCTGCATCTCCAAACTTGTCCGAATTCCTCTTGCAAACCGGTTCCAAAGGCTTCTGAACTACAGTCATGCAGTTCCACATTAGTTCCAATTTTCCATATTAGTCGCTTTCTCATTGCTGAGACAAAATACCCAACATCTTCAAATTAAAGGAGGAGGCATTTACTTTGTCTCACGGTTTCCATGGGATCAGTCCATGGTGAGCAGGCTACAAGGCAGAAATGGCATGGTGGAAGGGTCTGCTCCGGCAGAAGGCTGTCCGCCGTGGCCAAGAGAAAACAGAGAGATGAGGGAGAGGACTATGTTTCTCTGTGTCACAACCCCAGTGACCTCCTCTCTGCTAGGTCCCAGCTACAATCATGAGACTTTGGGGGTACATTTTAGGTCTAACCAATAGCACCCACCCTACCCTCACCACGACTCTCCACTTACAGCCAGGCAGGGCATTGGTCCATGTCCTCAGGAGCCCCAACCAGTTAGCAAGCTGATAGGGAAGTTATCAGTTATCTGGCCTTCTGCAGAGAGGAGGTGTACGGCCTTCCTGGTGTTCCCACTTCGGTGCACACCTCTGCACTGAATGTTGGAACTGAACTAAAAAGTCTCTCCCAAACAAATGCAATGTGTAGTAAAATGAAAGATAATACAGGATGACTTCACAATGATTTCATTTATATCAAGTGTGTGGAGCAATTTATAGAGGCAGAAGACAGATCAGTGGTTGCCTAGGGCTAGGGAAGGAGTGGGAACTAACCACAAATGATATGAGGAAACACCCTGAAGTAGTGGAAAGGTTCTAAACCTGGACTGTGGGGATGGCTGCACAACACCGCGAGCTTACTCAAATCGTTCCATTGTACACTTACGACGGGCGAGTTTTACGCTACAAAGGCCGTTTTCAAGTTAGTGTAGGTGAGTGACTAAAATGGAGATGCTACTTTAACGGAGATGATTCTCCACATTACAGTCACTGCTTGCAAAATGAGTTGGTGCAAATTTCCTCCTACAGCCTTCCCCTCGGTGTAAAGTGGGTGCTGATAATACGCATCTCATAAAGCAGGGTTCGGCTAGAGGAAGTGAGTTACAGACAGCCCTCGTCAGCACAGCAACCCGCTCCCGGCCAGCGCCTCTTACCCTACAGCAAGCGACGTGGGAGGCCCCCCAGGGAGGTGTGGTGTGGTCCATTTCTTGGCTTGTGAAGGGACACTCGTGGGGTCTTCCAGGGACAGTGATCTGGACAGAGAACGCCGTAGGTCCCGCCTGCCTCCCAGGCCCACCCATGTGCCGTGGATCCCCAGCTGCTCCCTTCCCCAGGGCTCCCTGGACACGGACCTTCACCTCCGTATTTGTCACCAGGCAGCTGATGGCTCCCAGGAGATGCCCCACGGCAGGCGGGTACTGGCTGAGCCGCTGAATATGCACGTGGCCTGATGCTGCCCAGAGGAGTCGGGGCTGGCGGTGGGACAAAAGCGGGAAAGGAACAGGAAGGAGGCAGCGGGGGAGGGGGCCGGGCCCAGGCGGGTTGCAGGGGTTGTTCTCTCCCTGTGTGCCGGCCGCTATTCTGAAGCTTTTCAGGGGCGGGGCAGACCGGAGGAGGTAGCAGTAGCTCTTCGAGGAAGAGGCGCACAGTGGTACTGTTGTCACTCTCAGATACCCAGCCTCGGCTGTCCTCAGCAGGCCGCCCTGAGTATGCACCCCTTCAGCGTGTGTCTGCTGCGCTCCTGCTGTATGCTGGGGCCGTGCTAGGCCTTACCTCCTAGGGGAGGACACGGGGAATCAGCAAATGACCAAACGGATTCGTAACTCCAATGCTGACAAGGGTAAGGTAGGCAGGAAGCAGGGAAGCTGGTCTAGGTCGAGTGGTCTCCGCATAAGTGACATTTTATCAGAGCCTTGGACAACCCAAGGGAGACTTTTGGTCTGCAGAAAGGGTATTCTTGGCAGAGAGAAATGAATGTGCAAAGGCCCTGGGCCAAGTGTCACCTCCCTGTAGTCAAGGGACAGGAAAAAACTCAAGTAGCTGGAGCAGAGGAAGAGAGAAGCAGGTAGTAGATGACTTCAGGCTGACGGGCAGAGCCATGGCCGTGGCCATGGCCGTGGCCGTGGATTTCATTCTGGGATGGTTCTGAGACATGATTCCACACCAACACAAACAGCACTTTCTACCTGAGAACTCTTCCCGGCATTGTCTAAGGGCTGCAGACCTTGAACTGCTGGAGGGAGGAGACGGGTCTCTCTCCCCTCCCGGTGGATCCTCTCCTTCCTGTTTAGGAAACCGGACACCCCTCCCTCTCACCTTGTTTGTGGTTTGTGGAGGTTTACCTTTAGAAACCAACCCAATCACCACCCATTCTTGACAAAGCATCTTGAGGACACCGAAAAAAAATTTTTTTATCAGGATTTGGAGGATCTGGACATGGTGGCACATGCTTGTAATCCCAGCACTCAGGAGGCTGAGGCAGGAGGATTGCTGTGAGTTCGAGGCCAGCCTCAGCTACAAAGTGAGCTCAAGGTCAGCCTGAACTGCATAGAGACCCTGTCTCAAAAAGAAAAAAAAAAAAAAATTGGATGTGGCAGGGGATGGTGGTGCATGTCTGTAACCCCAGGTGTTGGTGCTGGGGCAGGAGGATCCCCGTTCAAGGGCAACCCTGGCAAGTTGGGGAGACCCTGTCTCAGAATAGTATAAAGAGGACCGAGGGTGCGGCTCAGGATAGAGCATTTAGCCTGCGGCACCTTGGGTGCAATCCCAAATATTAAAAAAAAAAAAAAGGTAACACAGTTAAAATGTTTCATCATCGGGCAGGGGAGATAGCTCAGCAGCCACAGTGCCTGCCTAGGAAATGTGAGGTGGTGAGTTCAATTCCTGGTACTAAAAAAAGTTTCAACATTAAAAATAAAAATCAGTTACAATACTAATTCTCTTTCTTTCTTTTGTAAAACATCTCCACAGCTGTAATCAGATCTCCACTACCTGAACTTAAAGACCCCAGGCAAGGCTTTCTAACCTGAGACACTTCCTATAAAATAAACCAGAGCAGCCAGGACAGAGTGGGTCTGTGCCAATTTCCACAGAAAGGAAAACACCACTGTGTGTCTTCTCCAGTAGAAACTGCATCTCCGGAACCTGGAGCCCAGGATCGAGGTACCAGCAGGACTGGGCTTGGAGAAGCTTCTCTCCTGCACACGCTGACAGCTGCTTTGGCCCTGGCGCTGCCCCTGCACCATCAGAGCCCTCCCTTGGAGCATGAGATAGAGACTAGGAGATGAGAACAGACCCCAGGAAGGTCAGGGCCATAAACTCAATGAGCGAGAGCCATCATAACCAGCGTTGATCCTCTGCATCAGCAATGACCAAATAGCAAGTAGAATCAAAATTAAGATTCAGTTCACAGCAGTAACAATAGCCATAATCTCTCAAATTTTATACACACACACACACATGCGTGTGCACATACACGTGTGTGCGCATATATTTATATAAAAAAACCAAAGACTATATAACGCTCTTAGGAAGACAGTTTAGAAGTACTATTAAAACACATTTTTAGAAGAGCTGAATTAATAGGCCTGTTAGCGTGTATGTGTGTGTGTGTGGGGGGGGGTATTGGGCAACTAATTTTGTAAAGATATCATTTCTCCAGAAATTAATATATCAAAGAAATTTCAAAACTCCAGCAGGATTTCTGTACACATTGATTCTAAAATGTAATTGGAGACTACAATCTTGGAATAGCTAAGACATTTTTTAAAAAGAAAAGCCAAGGAGAGGCTGACCTATCGGACATTAACATCACTTGGAAGCCAAGGTGATCAATACGGGGTAGCGAATCAATTCAGAAACACACAAACATAAACAAGCAGAGCAAAATAAAGGACCCAGTAACACAGTCGTGAATATGTAGAAAGATAGTACATGACACAGGTGACCCCACAAGCCCACTGAGAATAGATCATTGTAGCAGATGGTGCTGGGGAAAGTTTGGCTGTTAACAGAGAAAATGAAATTAAATCCTCAGTTCACAACATAAAAAAAAACAGCAACGCGGAAGGGATTGAAGACCTTACGACCTAAATCTGAAAGATAATATGAAACTATTAGAAGAAAATATCAGAGTATTTGGGGATCTCAGTTGCAGGACATTTTTCTAAACAAGATCCCTAAAATACAAAAAAATAAAAGGGAAAATGTTGACTTTGACTCCGAAAAATAATAAAGGTCATTTATCCCACAGATGACATGACAAGCATTGAAGCAGAAGATATTCGTGTCTTCTACACTCAGTGACACATTAGTGTCCAGAATACACAAACATCATCTACACAAGGTCAGCAGCAGCAACAACAACCAAAAAGACAGCAAGCCCAGGGGAAGGATGGACAGAGGTCATCACGAAGTCATCTTCAGAAAGGAAAACCTTAATGGCTAAGAAGTCTGTGGCGACAGTCTCAATCTCATTAGCAATTTAAAAATGCAATATAAAATAATGGGACATCTAAAAATACCAACTAAGAAATGAGAGAGTGCTTTATACACAAGATTTTGGCAAATTATGATGCTAAAGGATACCAAGGCTGTTCAAGCCATGACCTCAAATATGCTTGATAACCTAACAACTTAACTCCTGCGGATATTCTCCAGGGAATCTCTCTCCTGGGCCCAGAAATCGGGTGTTTTTGCAGATGTTCTTGGCAGTATTGTTTCTGGTAGAGAAACTGGGAACCTACTATTCGGAGGGATAAGCAAAAAGACAGGAGCTAAGGTATACGTGGACTAGCAGAGGCCCTGGGTTCCATCTCCAGTAAAACACACACACACACACACACACACACACACACACACACACGTAAGTTAACATCCTCCTAGCCACACAAACATATTGGAAGGATTCATTTGGCCTATGAGCCACTAGTACACAAACCCTGGTGACTATCACGGGTCTGGATGCAGCTCACAGAATAACGTCCCCACACTCCAAGGCCATCTTCCTAAGACCCCTGACCTTGGATTCCTGCTGAAGCCAAAGGTTATTAGGGGTCATAAAGGTAACACAACCATCCTATCCCCCCAATGCTAAGCATCTTCCCCTCATTGTACCTGGGAGAGAAATTTGGGTTTATTACCTCATATCAGCATAAAGCAATAGCAAAGTGAATATAAAATCATTATAAACACAATTATCCTGTAGCTCTCTCACTTAAAAATATTCCTCTTATGTGCAAGTATTAGAAAAGGTCATTCTCCCTCTGAATTCCCAGAGAGAAACTGTTTGCAGGATCAACCTGAAACCTTTGTATTTGTTTTGGCTGGAAGCAATGGAGATGTTAATCAAAGAAGCTGTGAATGTGAAATTACAAACCAGTACTGGCATGGAAGACACCCCCAGGAGCTAAAGAAAGCACCGTAGCAAAGGCGATGGCCTGGGACTGACGGGGAGAAGGGACAGGAGACACAGCTCACAGGAAAGACCCTGGTCCCCCACCAGGAGGGCTGAGGGGGCAGGTTGAGGACCTGACCTCTCCGGCTGTGTAGCTCTCAGGGAGGGATTGTGGCCACAGGGTTTGTTGCGGGGCGCCGGAATCCTGATGGGTCTCGTGCAGTGTGATGGTCACACACTGACACTGCGTGATGAGCAGTTCAGGGGTCTGATCAGGTGCAGAAGCCAGACTTACACTCCTGCGGGAGTCGCTCCAGGGCTCACATAGCGTTACACAGTGGCTCGGACAGGGGCAGGGCAGGGGGAGAGCAGGAGTTGTGGGAGACGGTGGGGGACGCCCGGGCCAGTGGGACTGGTTGGCTGAGGGTGAGGGACACAGTGCTGGGCTGACTGCTGGCTCATCCGCGTGGGCACTGGCCCGAGTGGAAGGGCTTCCCGGACACAGAAGAAGCTGCAGGCAGAATGAACTGGGAAGGCCTCAGCCTCCCGAGCCACTGGTATTGGAGCTATGCACCGCCATGTGTGCCCAGAACACGAGAACTTATTCCTCTGGCTTCTTCTTCTTCCCGCTCCTCAGGGAGCAGCCTGGGGACCTGGAGAATCAGGCACAGCAGACACGGCAGACACCGCCTCTGCAAGGAAAGGAGCCAGCCCTCCGAGAACAGCGCCGGAGGAAGGGAATCGGCCCGAGGCCAGCATGGACGGTGAGTTCCTCTCCACGGAGCTCCAGCCCACAGCATCTTCCTCTGCCACACTTGCTTCTTACCTTCCTGGTGTCCTACACACTTCCCCTCCCTGAAAACACTTCCTTCCTCTGCTCCTGCATCTCCTCCCTCTGCATGAGTTTTCTGCCATTGATTATCATTAATTATTGTTTCAATTGTACAAGCTTGTGGGGCACGGTGTAATAATTCAGTACATCTGTACAAGGAGCAATGATCAAATCAGATGTTAATTTTTCCACCTCCTTAAAGCTCAAAACATTATTGTGATCAATACATAATGATTGAGTGTATTATGTGTGATATTCCAATGCATGTATGTAGCAGGTGCTTCTCAAATTAGAATAATGAACACTTCCATCGCTTTAGCATTATTTCATATTTGGAGACTTTGAGTTTCTCTCTCTCATCTTTAGTGTGTGCGTGTGTGTGTGTGTGTGTGTGTGTGTGTGTGTGTGTGTGTGTTACTGGGCATTGAAACAGGGCCTTTACACTGAACTATGTCCCCAGCCAATTTTTATTTTTTATTTTAAGACAAGATCTTGCTAAATTGCCCAGACTGACTGGGCTCAAATTTGGGCTACTCCTGTCTCAGCCTC